CCTCCCCTGCAGTGCGGGCGCGCGCCCCAGCATGCCTTTGCTACAAGTCTCCCCGCTTTAGCTCACCATGCGGTCTCCCCCAGTGCGTGGCTCAATCAACTTCCTCCAGTTGAGTGCGTACGCGTTGATGAAGGCGCGCATCGAGGACACCAGCTGCAGGGCAGACAGCTCCACCTTCAGCAGGGCGTCGGCGTCCAACTGCCGCAGCTGCAGCAACACGGAGGGGCTCTTGCTGCCCTCTTTGCCCTTCTCGCTGCCCTCAGCTGGCGTGCCAAGGAGCTTCTCCTCCACACCGCCGCGGGCCTCCAGGTACTCCCGCAGGGCGTACACGCTTGTTTGTGCCTTCACGCCGCTGCTCTTCTCACCCGTACCGCCGGCGCCCAGGGTTTTGTTTTGTACCTCGTCCAGCATGCGCAGGATGGCGTGCTGCACGCCGACCCCCAAGTTATCCTCCTCCTTCAGCTCCGGCAGTCGCACGGCGACGACGGTGCGGACCACCTCCGCGTCTCTGTAGACGCCCTGGCAGAGGTACTGGTAGCTGCGCAGGATGGACAAGATGTCCGCTGGCGTTTGCTTTGCGGCGTCGCACGTGTACGCCGCCTCCTGCACGCTGGCGTACTGCGCCACCGCCTGCTGTGCGAGTCCCTCCAGGTGACAGACCGTTTCCGTGGCCCACCGCTCCACCACGGCGCAGCTCTCCGCCTCCGTGAAGGTGTCACGTAGGGCTTGGACGTGGGCGAGGCGCTTGGGCGGCATTTTCCTTCAGTTTCCTTGACGGGCGAATAATAGCAATAACAAAAGTAATAAAACTATCGACGACTACGACAACGCCGACGGCGAAAAGTGAATAAACCGCGGGAATGCAGGAAGCGAAAAAAACAAACAAACCAGGTGGGGGAAACAAAGGCGAAGAAACACAGGAATGCTTTTCGCTCTTAATCTTCCCTTGTCCCTTGTCCCTGTTCTTTTTTTTTCTTCTTCCTTTTTTGTTTTTAATTTTTCCTTTCTTTCCCTTAGTTTGGTGGCAGGTGCGCGTTTGATCCTACTGGAGGAGAGTGGAGAAAGAGGCGCATCCGTCCGTACAAACACGCACACGCACACGCGGTGCAAGGCAGAGGGCGAGGGCAAACAGACACCCCCCCCCCCCCGACGACGACGGCAAAGACAACGAGGGAAACAACGGCGCATTAGAAAAAAAAAAGAGAGAGGGAGTTGTTGCCTCGAGAAAGAGAAAGAGAAAGAGAACACGTAAGATGCCGCCGTCCTCCACCGCTGCAGCTCGCGTCTTGTGCCGGCATCTAGCGATCGCCGCGTCGTCGCTTGCGACTTCGTTTGGCGCGCCCGCGACGGTGCTGCGGCGTCGTCGCCTCTGCCGGATGCTCCTGTACCCACTCCGTCATCGCCAGCTCCGTCTGGGACGGGGTGCCTGCGGCGTCCGCGGCGGCGCGACGCTTCTTCGCCTCCTCTTCCTCGTTTCCTCTCGGCAGCCGCGGCCTGAAGCGGCCAATGGACGGGGCTTGACGCGTAAACTCCTCAGGACTCGGGCTGCGCCGCGCAAAGACGTAGACGGGCAGCCGCGGTGGAACGACGGTGAACGGCGGCGGCATTGCCGCGGTTGGATCCACTTCCCCACCGCATGCTGCGTGGCCGCTGGCGGCGGCACGGCAGCCCTTTGCTTCGGGCGTCCTGGAGGCGCGACTGCTGCCGCCGCGCCGAGGCGATGACACCAGTCGCTGCCGCAGCGGCGAGACGACGTCGCCGACGATGTCAGCGCCCTCGTCGTCCTCCGCCGCTTCCGCCACGGTGTTGTGTCCTCCCCGCCCCGCTGGCGCCTCGTCAGCCGCGGGGCACTTCGGTGGTGGTGTGGAACAGCCCGCACTCTTCTCCGCGAGGGCCGCCGTGGCAGCAGCGCAGCCGAACTGCTGCGCCGGGCTCTTCAACTCCGCCACGACGCTCACCTTCGCCTCAGCATCGGGGAGACGGCGACCACCCGGCTCGCTCGTCAGGCCCGCCAGAAGGCGGTTGTGTTCCACGGCGAACTGCGGACGTCGCGCTGGCGTGGCCGCACCGCCAGATAGGGTGGCAGCTGCCGCGCCGAGGCGCTGAAGGACGTCAGGCGGGACACACCGCGGCCGGTAGCGTGCAAGGCGAACCCCGTTGACCTCCACGAAGAGCGGGGGAACACATGCCCCTTCGCTGGCCTCTAAACCGCATGCCGGCGCGGATGCCTCCCCCGCCGCAGTTGCGGTGCTCGCGCTGCCAAACAGGGCACGGGCGGTGGGCGCAGTGGCTCCCGGCTCCTGCCCGTCTGTGGCGTCTATCGGCCCTGTCGCGTTAGCGTCGTTTGCTGTCGCGGCGGCTTCCGCGGGCTGCAGCGGGTGCAGCACGCCGGCCTCCGCATCAAAGGGGTTCTCCAGAAAGGCTACAAAGTCGTGCTCGCGCAGCGCCCTACTCTCGCCGGCGGGCAGCGGCTTTTCATTGACGTAGAGCGGGTTGGCGCCAAAGTTGATCAGGCGGTAGTACGGCCCCGTGAAGAGGCTCGCCTCGCCCTCCTTCGCCTCGGCGCTGGCGCGTGTGGCACCCGCCGCGTCTCCGCGAGCTGCAGCAGGATATTTTGACAGCAGCTGCCTGTGCGTGGCAGCGTCGCCCACGTACACCACGCGGCAGTGCAGCCGACTCACGCAGGCGTGCCGCAGCCGACATGGCCGCGGAAGACACGTGTGGCGCCCCAAGACGAGGTGCGGGATTCGCTTAAGCCAGTCGCGTGGGGCGATCGTGCAACGGCGGGCTGCGGACGACTTCATCTTTTTTTTCTTCGACTTCCGCGTCGTCGCGCCGTCGGGGCGGCTGCCCGACGCCGACGTCGCCTCAGCGGGGCGTCTCGCGCTCTGGCGCTCCTCGTCCTCGTCGCGCCAGTGGGTATAGAACGGCCGCAGCAGCGACGACTGCGGCACCACCGGAAGCAGCAGGTCATCATTGCGTTGGCAGCCGTTGATGACCTTCAGCCGCCACAGAGGCGCAGCGGCACCTCCGTGCATTTCCCTCTGCACTTGAGCTTTGCATTGCACAGTGAGAAGGCAGGAAGCAACGAAAGAAACAAGGAGGAAGGAAAGAAGGCGTGGATAAATTCAATACATGCACGCAGGCCATTCCAAGCCTCTCCTCCTATGCAGTGAAGGTTGGTTTATCACGCATGCATGTTACTGCAAGCAACGCACGCGTAACGTTCCGCGGGACGCCAACACACACACACACACACACACACACACTTCTACAGTTGTTGCCCTCCTTGTGTCTGCGCAGCGTGTGCCTCTCCGCCACACGCCGCGCGTTCCCTTCTTCCTGCGGCTACCGCGGTGGCCGCGCCCACGGATCGTTGGCAAGCGGCGCAGGTATGCGGCCTCTGTCAAGGGCGTACAGATCCTGCAGCCTATCCTCCTCAAGCAGCTCAAATAACCCACGTGGGCGGGGTCGTGGCGGGCGCTGGCGCCGTCGCCGCACCCCCGCGGCTTGACCATCACCATCAGCTTCGCCGTCGTCAGCCTCTTCTCCGTGTAGGGCAAAGGATTCCTCCGTCGCCGAAGCTTCACGCGCGGCCGCCTGTTCCACGTCGCGCTGATGCAGCACGAGCAGCTGCAGCAAAATACTAAAAAATAACATCAAAACAATGAACCTTGGCACCCGGGCATACGTGGCGTCCAGCGTGGGGGCACACTTTGAGCACTTGCACCAGAAGCGGTAGCGATCGTGCAACACGTACTGACGATTGTCAAAGGACCACTCGGGCGGGACGTAGCTGATCAGGATTTCCGCCCCAGCGGGGATGTTGGCGGTGGCGCGGCAGCAAAACAGGTATTGCACCGCCGTCGCCGTTGTCAACTCGCGGGCCGTGGCTGCGTCTGCCGCGCCTGCCATGGTCGCATCCGCCGCGTGGCTCCGGTTTGCAATGGCGGCATCCTGCGGGACTGGAGGCGGTGCGCCGGCGGCGACCTCGTCCAGGTAGTACTCCGACTCTCGGAAGGTGTGCTCCGGCAGCACGTCGTAGGTCGCATTCGGGGCGCAGCTGTGGTTGAGGAATCCCGCCTCGGGGAAGTACGCCATGCCCTTCCGCACCGCGTAGGAGGACTCCACGAGGAAGCTGTTCATGTCGATAATGGCGGCGAGGCGGGCAACGTGAATGTTGTGCAACTCCAGCGCGTGCAAGACCTCGACGCCGCCGATGCGCTCCAGCACCCGCTCCGTGGCGGACGCCGGCCAAAACTCCAGCAACGACGAGGGCTGGCCGGTGAAAACCCAGTCGTGCAAATAACTCAGCTCTGCCGGACCCCCCTCGTAGGCGGTGAGCAGCACCTCACTGCACATCTCAACCAGCCGCTCCACCTCGCCCTTCACCCCAAGGTTGCTGGCCGTGTCGCGCACAACCATGAGAGTCTCCCCTGCCGCAATGTCCCTCGTCGCGAAAACCCCCCGACCGGTGAGAGTGAAGCTGTTCTTCACGACGGCGTCCTGAATCACCTTGCCGTTCTTCTCCGGGAGGCGTTGCTGGAGGACGGAGCGGTGCTGCAGTCCACGAAAGCTGCGTGGCAGCGCCGCCGCCGCATGCCCGTCGTCAAAGCCAACCTCGCCGCTGCCCACGACACCGAGCTGCCCGTCACCGTGCACGACAAACGGCCCGATGGGCGTGTTCTTTACCCACGGGTGACTTTCGGGCGGCGGCAGCTGCACAAACTGATCCTGCCGCGCAAAGACGGGGTAGTCAGGGTCCGTGGCGACCACCACAATCGCCTGATGCCGCTTAATGCGGCGGAACTCCGGCACCACGTCGTCGGGGTGCGTGGGGTACGGGATGGCGGCGTTGCGCTCCAAGTGGGCCCCCTCCACCTCACACCGCTTCTCGCGCAGGAACGCCTGCAGCTCATCCTCCTCCGCCGCCACCGTCCCCTGCCGCTGCGGCGCCTTTTCGAGGCCGGGCTCCGCCTCTTCCACCGCGGACGGGCGAAGTGCCACACGCACCTGCGGGTACCGCACCGCCCTCGCCGCGGCAGCCTGCAGCCGCTGCGTGGGACCTTCCGCGGCTTCCCCCTTCGCGACGTTGCCGGTGCCGGTGCCGTCGACGTCCTCGCGCTCGTGTGAGCCTCGATACCGACGCGACGTCACGGCGGCCGCGGCCCCCGCCCCCGCGGCGTCTGCGGCCAACCGGCAAAGCGGCCCCCTTCGCGTGCAGCGCAGGCAGAAGCGAGGCATCCCCCGCACCCTCCGCCACGCGACGCGACGACTCCGCCTCCTCACGCCTGTTCCGCCCCCACCCCTCCCCCGTCACCGAGGCAGCAGCTTCACGCTGCAGGCAGAGAGAAAAAGAAGGGATAAAGCAAGAAGGGCACGTACACACGAATAAAAAGACACACACACACACACACGCAAGCAAACAAACAAAAAACAACAACAACAAAGCCATGAATGAAAAATGATGAACAGATTCTCTGCGGCGCCCCGTTTCAGTCTCGTTCCCAAACTCAAAGGAGACACACCTCCTCTGCGTCACCCCCGGCCTGCTGCAGCAGACGCTGCTGCAGCTCCACCTGCCGCATCACCAACTCCCGCGCGGAGCAAAGACGACCGACACGAAAGACCAGCTCCCGCCGGTCGCGGTTTCCCGCAGGCCCCACATCGCCGTAGACGGAGCCCCACTCCACACTGTGCCACACCGGCACACCGCCGCGCTGCCGCCAGGCACGCAGCTGCGCAAGCGCCGCGTCACGGCCGCCCGCGTCACTCTGAGTTTTGCTTCCTTTAGCAACGTCGTGCTTCACGACAAATTGTCGCTGCTGCACGTTTGTGTACACCTCGTGCAGCGTGGGCCGCGCGCGCACGTCGCTCCGTGCCACCGCGTCACCCACAAAAAGTACACGGGGCATTCCGGCAGAGGCAACTGGAAGCAATCGCAGCGCGGCAGCGCCGGTGGTGGAGTCCGCAGGGTCCGTGCCGCCGTCACACCTCCCATCCCCGCGCCCCACACGCGTTGCGAGCGGGTAGCCGAACGACGACTGCACCGTCGGGCTTCTAACCGCCGCCTCGCCCACCACCGCTGCGGCGGGGTCCTGGAGCTCCTTCTGCATGCGTTCCCAGCGCCCGCGCCAGTGCAGCTCGAAGGGAACAGCATCGCAAGCCGACAGACACCGCACGCGCATGTTTGTCAGCAGTGGGTTGGTCGGACACGCCCAGAAGCCTACCACTTCGATCCAGTGCTGCGGGCTGAACACGATGTACGCCGCCTCCGCTCCGTCGCTGTGGTCATTTTTGCAGGGCAACGTGTCCTCCAACGTCATGGTCACAGGAATACGCAGGCGGTGCAGCATCCACCGTGAGACGGCGTGCAGCCCGCGTCGCCGCGCCCGCTCCACGGCCTCGCACTGCACCCGTCGCAGGACAGGATCCAGCAGACAGAAGCAGACCACGTAGAGGCCAAAACAGAACTGGCAGGTGATCATCTGCCGCAGCGTCAGAGCCCCGTCCCTAAAGTTCAGTGCCGTGCAGTGTGTCACCTCCACGGCGTCGAGGTCCTGCAGCACGCTCTGCTTCTCCGACGCGGATTGCGCCCGCATCGGGAGGGTGTAAAACGCCTCCCGCAACTGCTGCAGCTCACAGTAAATGTACAGACGCTCCCGGTTCGTCGCCGCTGCACTGCTCTGCTGCAGTTTTTGTACCATTTGCCGCAACACGGCGTAGCGCTGCAGGACGGACTGCAGCTTCAACTTCTCCGCCTCAACTGCCGACTCGTGTCTCCGCCGCGTCGTGTGGCGAGGGGTGTAGAAGTGGTGGTAGAAGACGTAGTACCCGCCGCTGGCGAGTGCGGCCCCGCCAAACCACACCGGCAGCCGCGGCATTTCCTTTGCAGTGTGTGTGGCACAGGCACAATCGCCAGCGGGAAAGAGGGAGAGTTGTGAGGGTGAAACCCAAGCAGGCGGCACATGCACGCGCCTGCAAGCACAAAACGCAGCCATTCCCTTTGCCTATCTATCTCTCTCTCTCTCTCACTCACTCACTCACTCACTCACGCACAGAAACACTTCTTTTCCCCTCGTCTTTCCTTCGGCGCGGAACCCACGCCTCTCCTCCCACCCACTCGATATTGATGAGCAACGTTTCGTGCTTCCCAACGAAAATTCTCCTTGGCTTGTTTTACTTTTTTCTCCTGCACGCGCCTCTCTACAGCTGGCGCCACCGCTGACATCGCTTGTAGAGCACGAACGCCAGCGCAGCCCACGGCAGTGCCCGTGTGAGCGCGAAAAATCCGACGTGAGCCCACGACGTGGTGTACGCGGCGCCGTCCTCCGGGTACGTCTCCTGCGGCACCCCGCAGTGCTGCCGGACATGCATCAGCAGGCCTTTATGGTCGGAGGCATCGAAGTGCTCGTTAAACAACACGTAGCCGTGCGGTGGCAGCAGCATCTTCTGCCGCAGCGCCGCGAGCGAGGAGGCGCTCGCTGCGGTTATGGAGCCGCACTCTTTCAGCGCCGCAACGGCCTCCTCCGTGAGCGTGGGCGGCGCCACCGCCAGGTTGCTCAGCAGCAGCCAATCAAGCTTGCCCCGCACAAAGCCGTGGTAGGCCGGGTTGTCGAGCGTGATCGAGAGCGCCTTGTCGCCTGGGTCGTAGAAGCAGAGCGAGCGATTGTCCAACGCGGCGATCTCGTCGGCGGAGAAGCCGTAGGCCCAGCGCCACACCAGGTCACTGTTCCAAACGGTGTCATGCATCTTAGCGAGCAGGTAGCAGAGGAAGCGGTGGGAAAAGGGGCAGCAACCCCGTGTCACGCGATGCATGTGACGTGACAGCACTTTGCGCTGCAGCCAACATGCCTCCTTTTCCCCCACGGCAAGGAAGCGTAGCCGCCCCAGTGCAAGCCCCGGCGAGAAACGCACAATGCCATCCGCCATGGTGTTCAAGTCGCCAGCAATAATAAAGGCCGACTGCTGCTGCTGGTAGTGCTTGTAGTACTGGTCGTACGAGGCTGCTTGCTGCTTCTCCTCCTTGAGCACAGCGGCGGCGTCGCGGAGGACGTCCAGCAGCTGTCGCACCCGCGACAGCGCCCCGCAAAACACCTCAAAATGGCAGCAGTACAGGTACAGCGCCGGCATCTGCGGATGCGTGCGTTCACTGCAGTGAATGCGGCAGCGCAAGACGCTGCGAAATCCATGCCGCGGCTCATGCCGCTTGCACCCCTCCGTTTCCCAGTCCACGCCCGCCGTGTGCCGAATCACGCGGGGATCACTGAGAGTGGCGCTTGCGGAGAGGATGGCATTGCCGTGGAAGCGGCGCCCTCGCCTGTGCGAGGAGGCGCCATCGTCGTTGCCCGCCTCCGCTGTGGCGGTTGCCGGCGGCGAGAGTGGGCCCACAGCGTGCACCGGCGGCCGGTCCGCCGCGTCGAGCTCCTCGAACTCGCAGGCGAAGTACATCTCCATCCCCAGCGCCTCGGCGAGGTCGCGGGCGACGTTCCGGTACCCCGAGCGCCGGCAGTTGATGTCCACCTCCTGCAACAGTATAACGTCGGCGCGCAGGGCCCGCAGCGTCTGCACGATGCGCTCGTACTGAATCCCACGCTCAATGTTCCACTGAACAATCCGCAGCGTCTCGGGAAGCTTCACCGCCTTCGCGGCGGCGCTGCGGTAGTCGTAGTGGAGCAGCCCGCCCGGTCGGAGGCCCTCCAGTTCCGCCCGCTCCCTCGCCGCGCCCCCCCTGGCCATTCGCTTGCCCTCGTTGTTGCTGTGCCTTCAGGTGCGTGCGTGGAGCCTCTGCGCGCACAGTGGGGGGAGAGGGGGAACGGCGCAACGGAAGAAGACGAAGAGGGGAGACGCAGCGTCCGCAGACTCGATCACGCCCGCCCACTCCGGAAGGAACAGAGCGATATAGCAGCAATCAACAAGAACAACAACGGCAACACACACACACACACACACACACACAGACAGACAGACAGTCATAGGTAGTAAATGCGGAGGCCAAAGGAAGCTTGGTCGGTTTGATGTACCGATAAATTCTGCGTTTTTTAATAAATAAATAAATGCACTCGTATATATATATATCTTTGTCCTTTTCTTTTTGTTGGGGGGTTTTCTGTTCCTTCTCCAATACACACACACAGACGCACACCAGGCGAGGCAGGGAGGGAGGGAGCCATAAATATATATTTGCGGCGTGCACTTAGGGCTACACGACCATATCTGCCTCGTCCACCCCGGCGGCAGCGTCGCCGTCGACGCTCGCCATGGCGAGTGCGTTCTTGACTGCAGCGGGGCCTGTGCGGGGCTCCGTCTGCGCGAGGGCCGCCTCCTCTGCCTTCCTTGCCTGCAGCTGCCGCTTCTTCTTCTGCACCATCTTGAGCCGAAAGAACTCCTCCCGCTCCTGCTCGTCCAACTCGGAGGTGATGTAGCCCAGCGTGTTCTGCACGCGGGGGATCACCACCTTCTCCAGCGCGTTGACGCGGCGGTTGGTGACCTTCTGCGCGATGTCGAGCGTCACCCAGCTAACCTGCAGCGAGGCAATATTCACCAGGAGCCGCAGTGTGTCGTGAAACCGCTCCGACGCCTCCCTCAGCTGCTCCCCGCCGCGCCCGATGCCGGCCGTCCCCGTCCGCCGCAGCCGCCGCGTGTCGTCCTCCGCGCCGAAGTCGCCCTCGTCGCCCTCGCGCTCGGAGAAGCTCGGCACCCGCACCCCGGCGATGTTGTCGATGCGGAGCCGCATCGCATACGTCGGCAGCTTCAGCGACTCCTGCACTGCGAGCCCAATGTCGCCCGCTATAAACTGCGCCTTGGAGACGGTGAAGTAGGAGCCCTTGATTTGCTCCACCATTTCCAGCTTGGCGTTGCGCAGCTCGCCCATGATCGTGCGGTAGCGGATGGCGAGGGCGTCGGCCTTCTTCTTCAGCAGCGAGTGCCCCTTCTGCGCCCCGCGCAGCCGCGTCTTGAAGGAGATCAGCGACATGCGGCTCGGCAGGGCCGGGTAGCGGTTGGTCGACATCGCGGCAACGGTACGCGAGTTCTGCCAACGGAGCAAGCGAGTCTAAGCGTGCGGGGGGGGAACGAGTGGCACCCTCAACGTGCTGCGCGAAGCGTGGAGCAGTATAAATGTATATATACTTCTCGATGAAAACAAACACAAAAACTCAGAAGAGAGAGAGAGAGGAGGGAGGGAGGGAGGGAGGCGGGGCCTCCAAGCAAGAAACACGCACACGATACACACACACACGCAGACGTCAGTTGCGTGTGCAGCGAGGACGCAGCTAGCTATCCAAGCACAGACGCAATGATAGACGCCGCATAGCCATACACAAAAAAAAATAATAATAATAATAACAGAGAACAACGCTTCCTCCTCCTTTTGCGCCTCACCCTACTGCTAGCAAACCCTTTTTTTGTTCGTGTGCCGCGGCGGGAAGCATTGGGAGCGCCGGCAATCGTCAGCCTCCCGTCTCAGCCAAAGTTCTCTCCGATGTTTCCCCAGTGCTTCTTGCCCCTCCCACCGCCACCACAGAACGGGGTGGGGAGAGGCAATAGACGTGTTTTTTTTTTTCAGCAGTTGGGCGCCGCCTCCCCGGCCGCCGGGTTGCTGGTGTCCTCGGCGAGCGCCGGTGTGGCGGTGACGCGGTCCTCCGCACTCCACTCCTCCATGGGAGGAATCTGCTGCTCCGTCTTCGCCACCTCCTGCCGCAGGTACTGCGTCAGCTCCGCGGTGAACTGGTAGGCAATCTTCTTTGCCTCCGCCAGGAACTTTGTGGCCGGGGCGTACCGCCTCATTGCCACGTACACGCGCGCAATGTGATTGAGTGACTCGGCGGTGGCAAGCTCGCTACTCTCCCCACGCGTCCGCCGCACATTTAACGCCTTTTCATGCCACTGCAGCGCCTCCTGCAGGCGACGCTGCAGGTGGCAACACTGACCGTAGGTTGTGTACACATCGGCCTGCGCGAGCACGTTTGAGCGCGCCGTCTTGGCGTACATGTCCAGCGCGGCCTGGCACATCTTCTCACAGTTCTCCGTGTCCTCGCGGTGCAGGTACAGGAGGGCAAAGTTGCTGTACGAGTACGCCACCGTGGCGTGGCTCTCCCCGAGCATTTCTATGCGGGTGTCCAGGGCCTCCTTTAGGCACCGCTCCGCCTTCTCGTAGTGGTGGAAGTCGAGGTAGAAGAGGCCGAGGTCGTCCAGGACGTCGGTCAGAAACGTCCGCTGCAGCGGCTCCAGCTTGGCGTTCTCCCGGAACTGCTCAATCGCCAAGAGAAAATACGCCTCCGCGTGCGGCTCCCGCCGCATCGCGTAAGTGTCCCCGAGTTTCTGGTACAAGTACGCCAGCTGCGGATCCTTGCGGTTCTTCCTCTTACGCAGCCCCACCGCGTCGCGGAAGAGGTCAGTGGCGCGCGTCAGCTCCTGGCGCTTCACGAGCAGGGAGCCGAGGAAGGTGTACGCCTCCGCGAGCTGCAGCGTGTCCGGCCCTAGCGCCTTGCGAATCACCTCAATGCCACGCTCGTAGCTCTTCTCCGCGGTGACGTAGTCGTCGCAGAGCTCCTGAATGCGGCCCAGCTTCACCAGCTCAAGCCCAAATTGCGCCGAGTCTTTGCCCAACGCCACGGCGTAGGTTGTGGTGCTCTCCTCATACAGGCGCCGTGCCTCGCGGAACTGGCGGCGGGCGGCGAGCAGAGAGGCCTTGCTGCTTGTCGCCTGCGCCGTCGCCGGGGAGTCGCGGCCCAGCGTGGCGATGCAAATCTCAAGACACTCGTTAATGCACATCTCTGCCCCCGTCGCGTCGTTGATCGCCTTTTTGAGCTCACACAACTTGTTGAGCGTCTGCGCAATGATGGGGCGGTACTTGTTGTGCCGGACGTACAGGTAGCGACGAATTTCAAGCGCTTCCTCCAGAAACGCAATCGCCCGGTGCTCCTGATTCTGCAGCAGAAAGAGCTGGGCACAGTCGGCAAGGGCGTGGGCGGCGGACGCCAGCGGGTGCTTCTGCGGCTCCGTCAGCGTCACAGCCGTCGCCGCGTCGTCTGGCAGCCACGACTGCCGCGCGTGGTTGTAGGAGGTGTCGCGGAAAATTTTGATGCTCTCGCGAAACGCCTTCTCCGCCTCGTCGAGGAAGTTCAGGTGCGTGTAGGCCAGCGCCAGCAGGGCAAGGCTCTCGGCGTAGCGCACGGACTGATTGCCCTCCACCTGCTCGTAGATCGCGGCGGCCTCCGTCAGGGCGTTCTCCGCCGCCCCCGGCTCCCGCATGTCGAGAAAGACGCGCCCGAGGTTGTGCAGCGTGGCGGCGCACTTCTCGTGAATGGGGCCGTAGCGCTCCCGCCGCATCGTCAGCGCCCGGTCGTAGAGGCTAACGGCGTCGCCGTAGTTCTTCGTCTGGTGCGCCACTTTGGCCAGCTCGTTGCACTCCTCGCCGAACTCAAAAGTCATCGGGGCGCGACCGGCGGCCTCGCGAAACCCCTTCGGCGCGTACTGGCGCGGCCCGATGGCGCGGTGCTGGCAGCACAACGCGAGGCCCGGCCGCGCCCGCAGGGGGACGGTCGGGCTGCGGCAACCCACGCGCACCAGCGCGGCGGCCCCGCCGAAGGGGCGCCAGCCCGCGGCGCAGCGGCACGCCACCCGAGTCGCTCTACCGGACATCAGCGGGCTGTGAAGAGGCGCGTGGGCCGCTACGTCGCGCACCCCTCCTCCCCTCCACCTCCGCACAGAGACACGAAGAAGTTGCTACCTCTCCGCCGCCTGCACCCCCCCTCCCCCCCCACACGCACACACACTTTTCTTCTTTGCTCTTTCCTCGCCCCCGGCGAATGGCCGCGTGTTTTTTGTTTTTGCTTCTGCGCCGACGCTCACAGCAGGCACACTCTCCGCCACTGTTCCCCTCCCCCTTTTTTTTCTTCCACCCGCAGCCTAAAAAAAAAGTAACAAAAAAAAAAGAGCCTTTTCTCTTTTCAGTGCGTGCCGCCGGCGCAGCAACAGGCGTGGCACAAACCACGGCGGGAAGCAAAATAAAAAAAAACAGACAAACAAACAAACAAACATCGAGAGGCGCAGAGAAAGAGAGAGAGAAGGAAAGAGAGGGAGCGGAGGAGGGCACACACGCAGGACGCGTCTACGCGCGGGGAAGCCTGCCGAAAGACAATAGCAGCATCAACGACGCCGCCGCACTGGCGGCAAAAAAAGGAAGTAAAAAAAAAAGTGTGTGTGTGCGTGTGTGTGGGGGGGGGGGGAGGGGACAAAACAAGCATGGATATTACGGACTGTTTTCAGCAGGCGCTAAACTCCGCGGAAGATGCCGTCCAAATCAAAGCCGCCACAATCCAAAAAGAAAAGAAAAGCACTTACCCGCCTAATTCCATCCCCCCCTCTTCCTCGCTTTCTCCTTAGGAGGGAAAGAAAGAGAGGGGGAGGGAGAAGCATAGACCTCTATATTTCAGGAGACATTTTACATTCTCCTCGCACCCCGCGCCCGTTCCCGCGCTCTGCGGTATGAAATGTCTAAAGTACAGTAGACGCCACCTGCGAAAAAAAGAAAAGACACAAACAAACAAAGAAACACGCGAGCAAGTAGTGATCCTACAGTGGTGCAGCAAAAACAGTCCGGGGAGTATATAACACACACACACACACATATATATATATATATATATATCCTTCGCTTTCTCCACTCCCGCTTCGCGCCATTACGTCTATCATTTCATCACCTGCTTGCCTTTCACCACCTTTGCCTGCCCCCGCTTCGAGGCAAAGAAAAAAAAAAAGTGGGAAAAAAGAATGGGAGAGGGGAGGGTAACAATTTGCAGCAACGGCGTCTATTACTTTACGTCAATGGAGGACGCCTCGCCGTTGTGGTTGGTGCTACAAGTGTTCTTTTCGTTTGCCTTCTCCGCAACGGCGGCCGCCGCCATCTTTGCGGCAGGAGGGCGAGAGTCAAAAAAAAGCAACTGCGCCCGTGCAACGAGCGGGAGCGTCTCTCGCTTCTCGGCGTCTTGAAATGGGACCTGCCACAGACTTCCAAAGGCCGCAAGCACGGCATTCACGTTCCGGGTGTAGTGGCCAAGCTCCTCCAGCCACTGACTCGCGCCGTCGTCGGAGTTGTCCAGCATGTCGTCGGAGTTGTCCAGCATGTCGTCGACGTTTACGCTGACGATTTCTTTCTCCGCGCCCGGTGTCGCAGGCGCCGCCCCGTTGGGGACGGAGGGCGTGTTTGCCTCGGCCTTCGTCAAGCGACGCTGGTGCCGCTTAAGCCACGCCACACCCGGAAGCCCCATGATGTCCTCCTCCGCTCCTTTTCCGGCGTTCACCTGCGTCCCCTCTTGCCGCAGTGCAAACTGCACGTATTCCTTGAGCTCTGCATCCGGCTCACCCTCCCGGTAGGAAAATTCCGCGGCCGCCACAATGGACACCGCCTCCTGCTGCATGCGTTTCTGGTGCTTGGTAGGGGACGCACCACCACGGCCGCCTAAAGCCGCCGTATTCATTCCAATTCTTCTACTTGCGCCTGAAGTCTCCAGCTCCGTCGAGGGCTTCACTATCGCCTCCTCCAAGTGATGCACCGGCGAGGAGGAGGCGGACGGGGACCGAGACATGGACTCGGTGCTGGGGTAGGCAATATCCCAGGCACACACGGCTTCTCTCGGGCGTCCGCCCTCGGCCCCGTTGGCCTTCGCCGGGGGCGACGCAGCACCCGGAGGACGACATCGTTTCACGGGTGAAGCAACAGGAGACCCATTCAAGTGAGGCGTCGTACCCTGCGGCTGTGGCTGCAGTTGCTCCCTCGGCTCAGGCAGGTGTTGCTGCTTTTCTGCAGCCACTGCCACGACCTCCTCCTGACGCGGTTGCGGCAGCGGCGGCGGCGGCGGTGTCGGTGTCGGTGTCGGTAGTGGCTCTGGCGATGGCGAGGGGGAGTTTGCAGCCGCCTTCTCACGGCGCAGTCTCTCCCCTCCGCGGTGCGGTGTCGGTGATGGGGATGTGGATGCTTTGCGCTTGTGTTTATGCGCCGCGGTCTTTTCCTGTTGCTTCTTGCGAGTAGACAGCGATGCCACCGCTTCACGGTGTCGTGCCTTACTCTTAGCTGGGACTTCAACGCGGCTGTGGTGCTCGACAGGCCCCTCCTCCGAATTGTCGCGGGGGCAGAGCGGCATCTCCGACGCCCCCGCGGCGGGCGCCGGGTTTTGCTGCGACGGGGTGTCTAGGAGAACGTAGCGGGCCTGGGCATCGCTGCGCAGCTTCTCCTGCCTCCACGCAGCGGCGATAAATGCAGAGGGGCGAGGGGCGGCGCCAACGCCTGCGGCCGCACTGAAAGCGGTGTGGTTGTCCGCAGCTACGTGCCCCGCGCCCGCGGCCCCGCCCGCAGGCCTTGCAACCGGCGTGGGCGCCACGCGTCGTCGCGGGGGGCCGACCCCCAGGTACACCTCCTGCGTGTACCGCGCCTTGGGCTCCTCCCCCCGCGACGGCCCTGGCGAGAGCAGGGAGTGGCCGCTCTGAACTGAGGTGGTGTGCAGCTTGAGCAAGAGACCGCGTGCCTCATGCTCCGCCTGCGCAAGCAGCAGTCGCTCGTGGTTCTCATCTCCGCGAAGAAGAAAGAGCGGGTTATCAAAGAGCCGCGCCACGTCCGGCGCCGCCGTGTCAAAAAACAGGAGAGTTGAAGACGACACCGGTGGAAGGCCGCCGCTGGCGGCTGCTTGACTCGGCGTCCTTTCGGCACCGCTCGTCTCACCAGCAGATCGTTGCGGCAGTGACACGGGCGCAGCCGCGGGAAACGCCGGCTGCTTGTGAGTGCTAGGGGCGGACGCAGAAGGCGCACCAGCCGCAGTAAACATGGAACGCTCCGAGTTAGTGAAACCGGGTTGCAGGATGGACGCCACCATAATATTGTCGCCCAAATTTCGCCGCTGCGGGGGCAAGGCAGTGGCATCGCCGCCCACGCCATATGCCGTCGGCGCAGTAGGGTCGCTTGACGCGACCGCGCCGCGGCTTTTTTGCCAGCCGCCGTAAGGGTTTCTATCGGACCCAAAAGTTTGCTGCCGCGGCCGCGTAAACAACAGGGGCGTACCTCGGGCACGTATCTGACGCTCATTCATCCACACCGTGCGCTCGCGCTCGAGTTCTTCGCTGTCTAATATTAAGCTTTCCAGGGATGGTGAGTTGCGTGGCTGCTGCTGACTCAAACTGCGCTGGCGGGCGTTGGAGGTCACCGGCACAGCCGCTTCAGCTGGCCTCAAGGCAGCCGCGAGGCCCTCGTTGGGGCCAGCGGCTGCTCGTGCCCGCTCACGCAGCCACACCCCCTGCATCAGGCGCACCCGCTCCTCGCGTTTTCTGATCCCTGCGGTTTGGCGCTCGTACAAGAGATACTCGTCCTGCGGCTGCACTATACTGCGGGCCCATTCTTCGGTTACCAAGGGCCCTACTGGACGCTGCGCGGCACCAGCCTCACTAAGCTCCCGGGAAGGGTCCTCATAGTTGCTGGGGGTACTGGGCTCGGACGACGGCAGGAAGCCAGCGCTTTGCGTTCGACTAGTGGACAGGGGGGGGCTACTACTTTTGTTGCCATAGATGTTGTCCTCATGCAGGGCGCCGCCTGAGGCCGCGCGGCGGCCCGCGGGGTAAACCGACATGCGCATGCGTGGTGAGAGGGTCGTCTGCAGCCGCGCCTGCGCGTTCGCCTCTCCGCGCAGGTCCTGGGCGTGGAGCAGCCTGGGCGGCGAGTAGCGCTCCCCCGGCGGCTGTGCGCCCGGCCGCGGCGCCGGGGCGGGCGAGGTGGACGGCCGCCGCTGCGTCTTCTTCCGCGCGGGCTTCCGCAGCCTCGCGGCCGCCCCGCCGACGGCGACGGCTCCAGCCGACGACGCCCGCGTCCCACTGCGCGTCGGTGCGGCCGCCACGCCCGCGTGCCCCGCGACCCCGTTGCGAGGCGGCATCCGGGCAGTCAATCAAACAAATAAACCCGCCGCTCTTCCCCGCCTTTTTTCCTTCTTTTTTTCCTGCTCTTGTTTTCTCGCCTTGCAAGCAAAGCGTGCGCCGCACTGCCGTGCAGGCGGAGAGATTCCCTCTTCCGGGTTCCTCGCACTGTTGATGACCGCAGGGTTCTCGGCGGTGCAGCGACGCCGTGGTTCGCACCTTCGCCCGGTGACGCGGTTGGCGATGCTACACGAGCCCCCCGTTTCCCACCGCGCAGGCCGCAGGCGCCACCACGAGTCAACCCTCACACACGCACGCACGCACGCACACAAACACCCTACGTATAAATAAAAAGCTATACTTGTTGTGCGAGAGTGAATACAAGACAGTCTGAGCCCTTCTTTCACCCACCGCGCCTTACAAAAGTAATTGTGTGTGTGCCTGTGTGCACGTAAGCAATGCAACGGGTACTGGCTTGTGTGTATGTGTACACACACAGAGAGGGACAGAGAGAGAGAAGAAAAAAAAAATAGATAGCAAACCGAGCAATGAGGACAGGTTTCCAAGATGTAAGCACGCCGACGCATACGAGGGCCTGTCGGGCATTTGATACACACCGTTTTCGCCCCTGTGCATGCATGCACAGAGGCGAAAAAGCAAGCCTGAGAGGCAGCTTTTAACTATTATTATCATTCCACACAACTATGCAGACACATATATGTATGCAAGCCAGCTAGCCAGCCAGCATGTGTGCATAACTTCTTTTTTTTTTTTTTACTTTTTGCTTCTTCGTTTTGGAAGCCCATTCATTTTTACTCGTAATTCGTCTTCTTTCTTCACACCTCACAGCAACTTTTACGCGGCTTCTGAGGATGCCAGCCGCAGCAAACACACACGCACAGACACACGCACTCGCCGGGCCTTGGGATTAACTTGTTGTTGTTGTTTTTGTTGCGGTTTGCATCGGCTTTTATTTCAACGGGCTTCGCCCACTCGAGGGTCGCCTCCGCTTGGGCTGCTCCTGCTGGTTGCGGGCCGCAGCGGCATCATCGCCGCCGCTGCCGCTGCTGCGGCTGCGTTTGCGGAGGACTTGCAGGGTTTCCCGCCGCGTCGTCTTCTCCTTCCGCGTGGCCCGCACGGCGGTCGTCTCGGTCGTCAACGCGAAGAGAACATCGTCCACCGTCGGCGCGCCGTCCCCGGCGGCGGGTGCCGGCTCCAGGCGCGCCCGCTTCCCCCCCACCGCCGCTGTTGGGGGTGGCGGTGCCTCGACCTCCCCGCCGAAGTGGGTGCGGTGTTTCTCCAGCTGCTCCCGCAGCATCGCGGCGGCCTGCGTGGCGAGCGCGCTCAGCTTCTCCGAGCGCTCCCCGCAGCGCATCGCCACGGTGAGTGTGGGCACGATGGTGTCTCGCACGAAGCGCAGCCCAATGGCGTGGACCGCGAGCCAGCGGAGTGACTGTGTCGTGGGCCCATGCGAGCTGGCCGCCGCGCGAGAGGCCAACGCCCCGCCATGCGCATCGCCCGCCTCCGCCGCCGCCGTGTCGGTGGGCAGAGCGGCGAGGAAGCCGCCAAAGTACTGCACAACGGAGGCGGTGCGCACCATCACATTGGCGACGCTGCCGTGTTTGATGACAGGCCGCACCAGCGCATGCAGCTGGTGGCGCAGGGAGGTGAAGTGATGCGCGATGGCGTCCTGCACCGCCGCCGCCGCCGCCGCGCCGGCGCGGAGGGCCGCCACGTTGAGAAGCACAACGCTCACAACCGCCATTGCGCGCGAGAGGTAGAGCGCCAGGCTGACCGCGTCGCTCCTTGACGGTTGCTGCATCGCGCGGTGGGCGCTGTACTTCTCGTTCGGCACATCGGAGCGCGCGATGCACTGCAGCAGCGCCCGCAGCGCCGCGGCCAGCTCATCGAGTGCCTCCAACGCCCGCTGGACTGTGTCCGGCCGGCCCAGCGAGTCATGAAAGCAGACCACGTAGGGGATGCGACCGCTGCCGCTGCCATCGTCGTCCTGTCTCTGCGTCCCCCGCGCAGGCTGCTTCCTGCGCGCAGCGGCGAGGCGCCCCGCGGCCACCCAGTCTGCCTCCCGCAGGTACCCGCACCGCCGCTCCACCGCGTCGTGGCAGTACATCCGCAGCAGCCGCAGCGCCACGGACTGGATCCACGGGTGGGCGTGCAGCACGAGGCGGCCGACGAGGCACGGTACAACGCGGCGGGCGAGGGAGACGTTTTGCCACACCTGCGCGGGGGCTACCGCGGCGACGCCCTCCAGGCAGCGGAGGGCGAAGAAGATGTAGGTCCAGCCCCGCAGCTCCAGCTTGCGTTTAAACTCCGCGGTTAGCTCGTCCTGCTTGCGTTTGGTGCCGAATACCGCCACCTGGTCGAACGTTGCCGCGTCCAGCAGCGGCTGGAGCGACCAGGACCAACACGCCTCGAACTCTTGTGCGTCCGCCGCGACGCTCATGTCGTAGGCGGCGCCCACTGCGGGGATCATCACGGCCCACGTCTGCAGCGCCATGGCCTTGCGGGGCCGCGTCTGGTCCGCCGCAAGCCACTGCGAGAGCGTGGGCACAACCACGTCCAGGCCGGCGTTCTTAACCAAACTCTGCAGGACATCCCCGGCCTTCTGTCGCGCCTCGTGGAACTCGGAGGCGGCCAGGGTGACGGCGAGCGGCATGAGCAGCAGCGGTGCCTCCTGCCGGAGGATTGTGGTCGGGAGGCGGTAGACAAGCACGGCGAGCAGCTCGAGGATCGCGATGCGGCCCGTCACCTCGGGGTAGTCAAGGTTCCGGCAAAGGAGGTCAATGTGGGAGCGGAACTTCTCCGGGGTGATGCGGTACTCCGTGAGAAAGCGTGCAAGCACGGCGATGCAGCGCTGCCGCAGCAACCGCTTCGCACTGGTGTGCATCATCAGTTCCGTCACCACCCCAATCAGCTCGTACACCTCCACCACGTGTACGTGTTTGCCAAGCACCGCGTGAAACAAGGCCAGCGCCATGGGAAGAAACTCATTGCGGTCGACAAGCTCAGCGCGGCACAAGCGTACCAGCTGCGCGGCATGTTCCTCGGTCAGCGCAAACCGCTGGTGCGCCACCACCGCCGCCGCCACCCGCATCGCGCGCTGCTTAATTGCCCCACCACGTTCAAAGAACGCGGTGACGGTCTCGTAGAGTGTGGTGTGGAGTGTCCCTACCGCCTGCAGCGGGGGACGCAGGGAGACGAGAGCCAACATGCAGTCCAGCGCGTGCCCCACCACCGCGTCACTGCCCTCGCCCTGCAGGGTCGTCAGCACAACGGGAAGAAGGCTTTCCAGGAGCGGTTGGTGCTGGCGCGTAAAGCACGACGTTAAGTCCGCCATCGCCCGCTGCTTGTTGTTCTGCTTCTCCCGTTCCTGCCCACGAAGCTGCCGCTGCCGCTGCTGCTGCTGCTGCTTCGTTGTCGTCGTCGCGTGTGGGTGTTCGGCCTCCACCGCCGCCGCCGCCTGATGGTTGTTGTCGTTATTCACGCTCTGCCCCTCGTCCTCCTGCTGGGCCGCGGCGGCAAAGCGGTCCAACGCATCCCCAGTTTCGTCATCCAGTGGCCGCGGCTCCAGGCACACGGCCCCATTCTCTTCCTCCGCCGCCTCTTCACTGCTGCTGTCACCACCCGCCTCCCCGCTGCTTTGCACATCGTCGTCAGCATCGTCGTCGTCATCGTCGCTGCGGTGACTCCTACCCCCCTCCTCCTCCTGCTGCTGCTTCTTTTGGGCGCGGAGCAGGTCGAGGCGAACGGCCGCCGTCGTGTACTTCCGCTCCTTTCCGATACCCAGCACCTGCTTCAGCACACTCAGCAGGTAATTGAGCAGAAACTCGTCCAGCGTGTCCAGCACCACCGCAGTGGCCGGGTCCTCGCGGTAAAAGTTCTTTGCGGCCTGCTGCACCTCCTTCCCGTAGCGGCCGCGGTAGGCGCGGAGCTTCTGCCGCTGCTGCGTCGCCAGCACGGTGTGGGCGCTGAAGTCCACATCCACCCGCTCCGGGCGCGGCTCCACGAGGAAGTTGGCGTCGAGCTGGTCCTTGCGGGTCTCCGTCGGGGCACGCTGGATCGTCAGGTGCACGTTGCCGCGGATGCGGCGGGTGCCATCCTTTGCCTCGAAGGCCATGATTTTCTCCTCCCGCACCGCATTGTGGCGCTGCAGCAGATTTCGTACGGTGAGGAAAGAGGACTCCACCTGCATCGTCGCATTTTTTATCAGCGCCCGCGCGACGCGTACGGCCAGCAGGCGCACCTTCTGCACAAACACAAAGTCGGCCGCGGCGTTCTTGCTGACGGTGCTGTACTTCGTCTTGAGCTCCTGCAGCAGCATGGCGGCGGCGCGGGCGCTCCCACGCAGGGCGCCGACATCCACCGACGCCGCCGTGCTTGGGGGCGTCAGAAGCCACGTGATCTTTTGCAGAAAGACCTCAATCACGCGACTTGCCTCGCAGTGGGAGGCGAGGAGCGTGAAGCCCTGCAGCGCGCGGTTGCGCTTCACCTCCACCATGGTGCTCATGAGCTCCACCTGCTCCTTCTGCTCGCCCACCTCGCCGAGGTAGTCGTCGAGAAGGATGCCCATCAGGCTGTCCAGGCACGCCGTCAGACACGCCACGCCGTAGCCCCGGTCAAAGCTGGCGGAGGCGGGGGCCAGCTGCCGCACAAGCTCCTCCTCCTCCCCGTCTTCCTCGTCCGCAGCACCGCCGGCTGCAGACTGCGCGGCACCCGCAGGCTTCCCCGGCGCCGCTGCCGCGCCTTCAGCCTGCTTCTTCCGCCTGTACGAGATGGCGTGCTGGGGCTCGTAGAGGTTGTAGAGGAGCGTCACGACGGTGTAGCCGAGCACGTGCAGCTGGTAGCCGTGCACAAGGTGATCCCGCAGCTTGGTGATGACAAACGCGAGCTTCCCAGGCCCGGTCTCACAGAGCATCGCACTGAGAATGCGTCGCGCGCTCTCGCGCTGCCTGTCGCTCTTCGTGCGCAGCTTTAACACCACCTCGTCGAGGAGGTGCTCCGCATGCAGCGAAAACCGTTCCGGCGGGAAGCGTTTGACAATCTTTGTGATGGCGATGGCCACAGGCAGCTGCAGGATGGCCGTATTCTGCTGCGCGTTGTCCGCCTTCCGCATCTCCTGCCGCACATTTGCGGCGGTGTGGACGTTGCCGCGCAGCTCGGCGTCGGCGGGGCGGCCGCCCCTGCGCGAGCCGTTGCCCAGAAACTCGTACAGCTGCGGAAGAACGTCGTCCTCCATGACGTGCACGACGCGGGCGCGGCGGTACTTGCGGCGCCGCTCCCGCAGCGCGGCGGCGGCTTCATCCTCCTCGTCCTCGTCGTCGTCGTCCTCCTCATCTGCATCTTCCCTGTCGCCCGCGGCGGGGGCGGCGGCATCTCTGCTCCCACGCTCTTCATCCGCCTCCGCCGCCTCGGCGTCGCGCAGGAAGTGGAAGTGGTCAAGCAGCATCACCACCCCGCGCAGCATCGGCAGTCGCAGGGAGGCGTTCTCGCGGGCGTTCTGCAGAAAAAGACTCAGCACGCGGTAGTACCCTTCCCACGGCAGCGCCGCCGCCAGGCTGGCGACGGTTGCCAAGACGGCGTCGCAGTACCCCTTTGCGCGGCCCTCGGTGAGGTTCTGCAGATCCCGCTTCCCCTGCGCAAAGTCCTTCACCGCCACGAGCAGAAACGGCACAAAAACACGAAGCACGTCCCGCGGCAACAGACGTCCGACGCTCTGCCGCAGCAGCTCCAACGCCCGCACCCGACAGCGGTGCTGAATGTGACCCACATTTGCAAAGAAGCACCGCTCCACGTTGCGAGAGTGGAGTGCCGCAAATGAGGGGAATGCCGCGGGGTAATACTGCGCCAGGCAGCTAAAGCTTTGCATGTGTGCAAGGCGGATGTGCACATCGCGTGAGGCAACGCCGCGGCGCAGCGAGGGCAAAACCTCACGCCGTATAACACGCTCAAGCAACAGCGTGTCGTACGACGCCGCCCGCTCCTGCTGCCTTGAGGCATACAACACCATCGCGTCCAGGAGCTGAGCCGCCAGGACGCGTATCGTCCCTTCCGGGTCACGCAGAAAAAACATCACGTTTGCCGTCAGTGCAAGGAAGGCCTCAACGCACAGCACAGGGGCCTCGGCTTTATCCAGCAGAATCGTCACATCCGCGGCGCCGCTGTAGTCCCGCTCCTGCCGCACCCCCTCCTTCTCCCCCTCCCCGGTGTTGCTGTGCTGGCGTTTGGCAGCGAGGGCCCGGTAGTTGCCGTTGTTCGCAAAGAACTGCCGCAGTGAGCGGAAGGTGTGAAACCGCAACTCAAAGTCGTACCGCTCCAAGTCCGCGTTGTCCTCCGCAAATCCGTTGAGGCAGGTAACCGCACGCCCCACAGCCGCCACCTGCGCCGCGTGGACGGCGCAGCCCCGCCGCACGTTGTCGGCGCGGTATTCGGACTCCACGGGGTACGCCAGCCGCGGGAACGCCATCGCCAGGGAGCGGCAGAGCGACAGGCGCGCCTCGGGGCACGTCACGACGTTAAACAGACGGACGAGCGGCTCAAAGTGGCCGGCGAGCTCCACGCGGCGCATGCGGGGGAGCAGCCGTTCCAGCATCCCGGTGGCCGTGATACACGTCTGCCGGTCCTTCGCAGAGGCGGGGTGCGCCACAAAGGCGATGCACATCTCCAGCAGCCGCGCGAGCATGGCGTCCACCCCGCCGACGGGCCTCTCAGCCTCCGCGGCGGCCGGCGCCACCACATGCTCGGAAAGCACAGTGACCGTTGCAATCATTTCCTTCCACATCGGCACACTGAAGGCCATTACCGAGGCGGCGGACTTGCGTTGCCTGCGCGTGCCGCCCGCGGACGCTGGCGCGGCAAGCGAGCCACCACCACCACCACCACCCCGCACAATCAACTGGTACAGCGAGGCAAAAATGGCCATCACGTGCGGCTTGACGTAGGCCTCCTGCAGCGTGGCGGAACCGGGAGCACCAAACGCCGCAAACGGCTCTTCCCCAGCAGCGAGAATGACACCCACGCAACGCAGCCCCTCGTAGACGGAGAGCGCGGACGCCTGCTGCAGATGGGAGCCGGTGGACACCGCGGGACCCGCCGCCGCCCCGCCGGTGTTCGTCGCGGGACGCATCATGGCGTGACTCGTCGCGGCGTGGGCGAAGACCTGCACCAGCATGGCCGTCACGGTGTCCCCAAAGGCCGCAATCAGCGGCATAGCCAGCGGGGAGTCGACCCACGCACGTATGAGCCGCAGCAACGGGGTCACGCCTGTCCTACCGCCATCGCCGGCGCCTTGCGCAGTTATCAACTCGGGTACGGCACCGCTGCTGTTTGCGTGGAGCATCGCGACGTATCGCCCAATGAGACTCTGCGCGACGTCTCCGTCGGCAGCCTCGGCGAGCTCCTTCCGCAGCGCCGCCATGACCTCCGCGGGAAACTGCTCAAACAGGGATGCCACCATCACTGCAGCCGTGCGACGCAGCCGCGGCAGAAGCGCGTTTAGCGTCGAGGACCCCAACACACTCTGCACACGCCGGTATATTTCGTCGTCAGACGTCGTGTCTGTGCCGCCGGGTGCCTGCAGTACTTGCTTGCAGCTGATGAGGTAGGCATTGAGGGCGAGGTGCATGCATGACCCCGCAAAAGACTCGAATCCCTTGCCAACGGATTGCAGCAGCGCACTCAGCAGCTGCATTGTGTTCAGTAGCTGCTTCACAAGGCGTTCTAGCCGCCGGGCGCAGTGACTGTTGGTCCGCACCCACTCTGCCCACATCTCTGGGAAGCGCGCGGCGGCTGACGCCGTCCCCGCACCGTTTGGCATGACGCGTTCAAATATCAACCTCTGCACAATTCCTTCCAGCACGTTGGCAAAACCGCCACCCACCGAGAGGTGCGTCACCATCGCCAGGACGCGACGCTGCAGAATTGCCTGGTCCTTCAACTTCTCCTTCGAGACGTTCGCCGTCAGCTTTGGCAGCACAACGGCGATGGCCGTGGCAATGTAGTCGGCCTTGTCCTCCTGCGGAATATCCGTCTCCACGCTAAAGGTGGACAAGAAGTGAAAGAGATTCTTCTGCGTGTCACAGTAGGGCGTCAGCTGGGCATGGTGGCGCGCGAAGGGGGGGACCTTGAGCCGCTGCAGCATGTCCATGGCAGCCCGCTGCAGCCTGGCGTTGGCGTCGGAGAGAAACCCAATGCAAATCGTTTGCAGCTGCTCGTTGCGGGCCGCCAGGAGTGCCCGGGCCTCTGCCGGCACCCGCTCATGCGACGAGGCCGCGGCGGCGGATGCGAGGGGTGCCACGTTGCAGGCGTTCATCGCCAGCACGAGGCGGTCGTCTAGCAGTTTTAGTTGCCGCAGCCCGTCCGGGTGCTCCCCGCGGCGCACCGCCGCCAGCTCCAGCACAAGCCCCGCCACGAGCGCGACCCGCCCCTCGCCTGCCGCCCCCCGCGTCATCTCTGAGAGGCCGGACAAAAACGTCTTGGCCAGCACCGCGCGGTCCGTCGTGCGTGCCCCGTGCATGTGCGTCGGCGAGGCCGACGGCAAGTAGTGGCGCCGCCACGAAAGCACCTCGCCGTCGGCGTTGGCGAGCTGCAGCAGCGTCACGGTGGAGACCGCGGAGCGGGTGGCGGCGGCGGCGAACTCCCTGCTCACCAGCTCCCCCTTCTCGTGCCGCTGCATGTCGGTGAGGCAAATGCGGTACCACACGGCGGCCCTGCCACGCCCGCGCGCGCCGCCCCCAACTTCCTCGCCGTCGTCGCCGTCTTCCTCCTCCGCGGCGTCGTTGAAACCTCCCGCGGCGGCCCCGCGCAGGATGTCCCCAAACACCACCGCCCGGGCGTAGCGGCACACGACACCGCACCACACCAGCGGCTCCAACCTTCTCGACGTTGCGGCGGCGGCGGCGGCCGCCGAGGAGGAGGAAAGAAGAGGAGGGGCCTCAGCAGCAGCGAGAGGGACGCACGCGCCTGCGGCTCCCACGTCGTGGCGGCGCCGGGGCCGCGGCAGCTGCGCGGAGGTGTCCTCCATGCGCACCAGGTCCGCAAGCATCTTCAGTGCCACTGGCCACGCGTCCGCAAAGCGCGTGTGCATCAGGCCGAGCATGGCGTGCGCCAAAATCACCCGTTGGAGCGGATTCCGCAGCGTCCCCGCGGCCACCGCAAACGTCAACTTTGCCAGCGCCTGGCGCACGCCGTCCAGGTTCCCGGCGGCCGACAAGGGGTCAAACAGCTCCGCAGCCAACAAGGCATCAAAGAAGGAGGGATCGATGGCGCAGCAGCCCGCGGTTCGCTCCGCCTCCGGCACGTCCGGGTGGCAGAGCAGCCGCAGCAGCGAAAGCGCCACCACACGCAGGGAGTGGGCCGGAGACGCAAGGGCCTCGAGAAGTAGCGTCTCGACCAGCGCCCGCTGCGTCGCGGCGTCAATTGCCACGTAAAGCCGCGAGGTGGCAGCCAGGAATGTTTGCTCAGATGCCTCAGTTGAACTCCTGCCACGGTTATTATTAGTATTGTTCTGCTGCTGCTGCGAGGTAGCGACGGCGGCCTCCGTGTCACGCTCCAGCTCAAACCCAAAGAGGCGCAGCAGTGACAGCAGCAGGCATTCCATTCCATGAAGGAGTCGCCCCGTCTCCTCGTCGTTCAGCTCCTTCGCGTGTCTGTTTTGGAAACTCGCGGCTAGAACCATGACGGCGTCTCGCACGAAACCCACACACTCCACCTGCATACTCTCTGCGTCAAGCACACCCGTTAGGGCGTCCAGCTGCACCAGCAGCGTCGACGCCTGCGCAAACAAGGCGTAGGAGGCGGCCGTAAGTCTGGTCAATCGCGTTGACCCGGTTTCTTTATTGTTATCCTTAGCATTACTATTACTATTGTTACTATTGATGGTATCCTTGACACGGCGCATCACATGCAGCAGCGCCTCCCGGAAGCGCCACGCAAAGGAGGTGGTTCCAAGGGCAACGGCACGACCCGTATCCGCCGCCGCCTTCTCGGCATCCACCACGGTCAGCACGAGCGGAAGAATGGCCGACACAACATCTGCCCACCTGGACGCATCACACCGCGCCGCGTCGTCCACGGCCTCCTGCGTCTTGGCAAACGCCGTCAAGACGCCACGCAGGAGAGTCTGCAGGCTTTCACGCAAGGCGTCGCAGTCCAGCAAGGAGGCGGCGACGGGTTCCGCGGCGGTGGTGGTCGTCGTCGTCGTCGTCGTCGTCAGTGCCAAGTAGAGCGGACTCGTCAGCATGTGTGTGGTGCGGTCACACATCATACGGGCCATCATCGCCGCACGCGTCGACTCATGCATCGCGGCGGCGCATGCGTCGCCCTCCAGCGCTGCGTTCGCGTCCACGCAGGCACCATGCAGCACAGGGGCCAGGAGGTTCAACGCCAGTGGGGACAAGTGCGAGTTTACCACAGGCGCTTTGCCACGCGACGCCGCCTCCCCTTCGCCCAACCGGCGCTCGTCCCGCAGGCAAAAGGCGTAGTTTTTCTGCAGAACGTCTTGCACAAACGCGAAAAGCATCAGCTTGGTTGCGCGCCGAAACTCCTGCCAGCTTCCATCTGCGCTGTCAGGGGCGGCGTTGCTCGTGTGGCACGAAACAGACACGCAGTTCACCACAACTTCGTGGGCGAGGGGCGAGAAAAGGGCTTGCAGCTTCCTTGCATGGGAGGTGGCGGCCGTCGCGCCCACACACAGTGGCGTCAGCGTCTCCAGTACACCACCGCCGGCACGCACGAAACGGCTCCACTCCTCCCTCGCCCTGGCTCCCTCCACACACGCTGAGGCCCGCTGCATCTGCTGCCGCACTTGGGTCAGCAGCGTTTCCGACGCCTGCCGCAGCGTCGGTGCGGCCGACGGGTCGCGGAGAAGTTTATAGTCGGCGGCGTGCAGGAGCGACTGCAGCAGACGTGCGTGCGGCAGCGAGAACTCTAGCAGCGCCGCCACAGCCCTGAGCAGCTGCAGCGAGGAGGCCTGTACTCCCTCCAGCTGCGTTTCCGCCGCGCTGGCGACGGCGGGGGCAGCGGCCGTCTCCTCCGCCACCGTGCGCAGGGCCGCGCCAACGACGACGCCGCCCGTCATCTGCACGAGCTCGTGCAGCACCTCGCCGCGCCGGCGCGCCTCTCGTGCGGCGCCTGTCACGGGGCTCGCCACACGCCCGTCCACGCCCTGCCCACTTTGGGCACCCGCAAACGTGTCTGCCCAGCGGGCGGCGTGCACGAGACGCCGCGCGTCTGCCTCCGCGACGCCAAACACCTCCTGCCCGTTCGTGCCGTCGCCGGCGCAGTACGTGCCGGCAAACTGCGTCCGCCGCGAGAGCCCAAACACGTGCACGAGTAGCGCGTAGTTGTTTTCAAAATTTGTGCTGAGCGACCCACGAATGCCGCGAAACATCTCCGCGGCGAGGAAGCACAGACCGTCCACGACGGGGAGTAGCGCGAGACGGTTTTGCTCGTACGCGTGAAGCAGCGACGGGAAAACAACGCCGGGACGTGGTCGCTGCTGCTGCTGCTGTTGTGCCGCCGCCGTCGCTGAATCCCTGTCGGAGTCCTTTTCGCCGTCGTCGTCGTTCTCATTTTCTCCATCGTCGGTGGCTGCAGCGGCGGCCGCGCAGTACGTCTCGAAGTCCTGCACCACGTCCAGGCAGGCCTCCTGCACGACAAGCGGGACTAAATCCTGCGCCGCGCGGCAGAGCGACGCCAGCACCTCCGCGGAGAGTCGTCGAATGTACTCCTTCGTGTCATGCATCTGCCGCACGTAGAGGCGAACGACGCGCTCCACGAGCTTCCGCTGCTCCGGCAGCAGCCAGTAGGGACGCATCTCCCGACACCACGCGACCTGCGCGGCGAAGACGAGCTGCAGGCGTCGGGTGTCCGCCAGCATCTCCCCCTTGGCGTCGAACACCCCGCCGTTGATGGCCTGATGGAAGCACTCAAAGTACGCCAAGAACTTCTCCCGCATGTCGCGCGCAAAGGCGACGGTGAGCCGCACAAACGCCTCAAACCCCTCCGCAAACTTGTCACGGCGCATGAGACTCAGCAGGAGCTTCTCCGCAATTTTACGGTGGTTGAGGCGGAAGAGGGCCTTGGACTCACAGAGCTCCAGCACCTCCCAGCGAAACCGCCTGAAGTCCGTCGTGGAGTGGGAGAGCATCAACTCGTTCAGCTCCATCAAAAACGCACACTCCTCGTGCGCCTTGTCCCCGCCGTCGCCGTCTGCACGACTCACAAGGCCGGCAACGGGACGCAGATTGATGTCCCCCAGCACACCGTGGCCCACACCAACGTGCACGTGCTGCACTGCATTGCGAAAGATCTTGTCCCGGCCCCGCGTGTTGTGCCCGCGCTTCTTCGGCGGCATCGCGCGTCTCTGCGGTGCACGCCTTGTCCTACGGAAAAAGGAAAAAAAAAAGTAGTGGGCGCTTTCCTACTTGCACCAAGAGCAAAGCATTGGCGCACACAAAGAGAGTGGGAAGAGAGAGTCACTGAGTAACGGCCAGAGCCCCTCCCACCTCCGCCGCGTTGCCACTGCGAGGAAGCGTCGTTTGGCCACGCCCTCAGCGGATGCATAAACACTGGCGCGCGGACAAGCACGCATGCACCGCCACGGAGAGGTGATAACCGGGCCCCACACCATACTTTATAAGCACGCAAACCGCTCGTCCAGCGGCACCTTGTAGCGCTGTCCCCCCGAGACGGCAGAAGCAGCCAACGGCAAAGCAAAGCCCTCGCACGCCGAGGGGGAGGAAGCGCAACGCCGCAAAACAATTCCGTCTAGCGAACGTGAGGATAACAGCAACGCCCTATGCGGCGCCGAAGCCACGGGTCCGCACTGACGAACCAACACACGCGCGACAAAGAAGGCTGAGGAGGAGGAGAGGGACAAAAAAAAAAGAATAACATGAACAGTTGGACTGAGACCTCGAGGACCATGTGTGTGTGTGTGCGTGGAGACGAAGACGCTTTCGTTGGCCATTCCACCGCCGGGGCCCGCGACACGGCGCACCTTGTTTTTTTTTTTTTCTTTCTTCCACGCCCCTTCAAGTCCCCGTCATCATCGCGGAGTCTCCCCATCCACGACTCCGGCGCGGCGACAAGAACAAAAAATAAACAAGACCCCCTGCCCACTGGGCAACACCCAAACAGTCGCAAAGAGTGACGCTAACCGAAGCTTCGCGTGTGCCTCTGTCACTACTCACTCAACTGTCTCGTTATTACTCGTTACGCCATCCTTTTTTTTCTTCTTCCTCTTCTTCTGTGCAGCCGCACGCTTGTGCTGCGCCGGCGTCTTCGCCTCCTCTCCACTTGCCGCCGCACCGCCCATCTGGGCGGAGGCGTCACGCTCCGCCTCGGCGGGTGGCAGGGCTGCCGCAAGCGTGGCGTGGCTCAGCGCCTCCGTCACGAGGTCGCTGAAAAACCGCACACGCACCAGATTCCACTTGTGCGCGGGGCCCAGGCAGACGGGACACGTGAACTTCCGCCTGCGCCGCCGCGGTCGTCGCCGTCCAGGGCGGGAGGGGCAACGCAGACGCGGGTCCGCCGCCGTCGCCCCCCGCAGGCCGGTCGGATGGTGGTCGTCGCTGCCGCAGACCTGCACCTCCTCCTCCGCTGCCTCCACCCGCTCTGCGGAGGCCACCGGCAAACAGCCATTCTCAATGCCCAGGTTAATGCAGCTGTAGCAGAAGACGTGCCCACACGTGTCGACGACGGCAGGGTCGTGCAGCAGCAGACGGTGACAGATGGGGCAGCAGAGCAACTCCCGCAACGCCGCCACCACACGGCCGTTGAGCTCCGCGGTGTCAAGCTGCTCCGTGACACCGAGCAGGTCGGGTAGCTGGGACGGGGAGCACTGCGTGAGCTCCGCCGTGGCACCATGGACGTTGACTCTCAGAGCGCCACTTGGGGCAACGAAGGGGTCATGCGGGCCCTCGACGGTGCTCATCCGCTATCCACCAAGCGACACACTCGGGGGTGGGGGGCGCCAGAGGAAGCAGAAATCAAACAAACACAAAATCAAATAAATAATAATAGGAAAAAAAAAGGGAAATTAGATGGAATCCACAGCAATCATGTATACACACGGACACACATAAAGGGAATGAGCAGCCGAGATATACGCAGAAACATATACTTATGTATATATGTATATATATATATGTTTTTGTAGTTCTTCCTCCTGCCCACGCCGAGAGGGATGGGAGTAAAGTACAGGGGAGTAAGCAAGAGAAGTGTCGTGGATCTCAGCAACATTGACGCGGTGAAGAGAAATGCTGTTGTTGTTTGTTTTCCTCTGTCTTCGCATTTCCTCCCCCCTTTCCCCTTCTTTCCCCTGGCTTATTCTGCACCTCTCTTGGTTGGCTCTTCGTTAACGGTTCTCTTTGCCTGTGTTGCTCCCCGCAGCTACACCGCAGGGACTTTTTACAAGGTTCTTGCCTTGTATCTATCACTGCCGTGGATGCCGTCTGCAAACATAGTGCCCTGCAGCTGCCCTGCCCCCAGGCGCGGGGCCGCATATTTGCCGCCGTCGTAGGCGGCGTCCGCGACCACGGTAGCGGCAGCGGCGGTGTCGTTGCCCCAACGTCCGGTGGCTGCATCCTCGATGACGGAGGCCCCACCACCCCAGACGCCTGAAAAGAAAACGAGGAGGATGAGAAACAGGCACGCAAGCAGAGACGTCACGCTGGCGCGTTCGTACCAGCGGCACGGCGTCCAGGCGGCGATCACGGAGGCCTCCCCGTAGCCACCGCTCACGCCGTGGAGACGGGCAGCGGCGTTGTAGTGGCGATTGCGTAGGAGCTGTCGCCGCTGGCCGCTGCGCCGATCCACGACGAGGCCCCCAAGCGTCGAGAGCCACTGGCTGTCGTCCGCGGCGTCTACGGCCGCGTTAAGGTCCTCGTGCCGCAGCGCCGGGGAGACCAAGAGGCGAGAGATGCGGGAGGGCAGGCGGGCAATGGCGAGAACAACGCGTCGCAGGAGCCGGCGTTCCGCGGCGTCGGCGCGCAAGACGCACAGCACCGACTCATTGCCGCGAAGCGGGCGAACGGGTATGGCGCCGTGAAGCTGACGCTCCGCATCGTAGTGGTGGCGCCGCTCTTTTCTTGCGCGGAGACATGAGGGGACGGTGAAGTCCCCCGTGGCTGACGCTGCCTCCGCCGCCTCCGCTGCAGCGCCGCCTCCGCCTCCGCCGTCGTCGCCGTGCGCCGCCCCACGGTCCTCGTGAAACGCCTCCGTGTGGGTCGAAGAAGAGGACGCGAGGGAGCCAGAGGATGTGCTGGCAGCGATGTCTGGAGAGGAGTGGTCGCGGGACGGGGTCGCCGTCCATCGCCCGCGCCAGGGCGAGCAAAGCGCATCGTAGAGGAGCGTTCCTAAACCACGCGACGCCCGTCCCCCGCTTTCTGCCTCGCTAAGTGACGGAGGGGGCTGCGCTCGATGCAGACGCTCCGCCCCACGCGGCGTCACACCCGCCGCATTCTCGACTCCGTCCGCCGCCCGCCGCGGATGACTGCGGTGGCTGTCAGTGGAGCCGCCTCTGGGGTGCGGCGGCTCGCGCTGCCTCTGCTCCGCCTCGCGCTCCCGCCGCAGAAAGTGCCCATCCGTGCACCACGTCACCCCAACCACCTCTTCCCTCGCCGCGGGGCCAGCACCGCCCGCTGCCGCGGAAGCGGCCCCGCGGCCCCCGCCCACGGAGATGGTCAGGGGACTTTGATACACGGCCCTCGCCGCCGAAATCGGATCCTCAAATTTCACGTAGAACCAATTCTGGCCTCCCGCCAAAGTGGGCGTCAATTCGCTGCTTCCTGCGGATGCGTACGCCATGGGGTAGTAGTGCGCCACGGTCCGGCCAAACATGACGTCGAGGAATTCCCGCACCTCCATGATGCTCCCTGGCGAGGCGCCGTACACAGCAACCCAGCGCTCCCCCGCAGGTGCGGGGGCCGCGGCATTGTCGCTGGCGCCGCTTGGGTGTGCCGCGTTTGCCGCCATATCGGGCATGAGCGTCACATCCTCGTGCCGATCTTCAAAGCCTTCTGGGAGGAAACCAACCCGCCTCGCAGGTGACGGTGGAGCGCTGGATTGCTGCTGCTGCTGCTGCTGCTTAACCCAACCACGGCGCCCCTTGCGCTCTACCCACTGTCCAATGTCTTGCTTCCACATGACAGCAGCAACGCCTCCTGCGGGGTCTAGGGAGGGGTGAAGGCTGGCTCGCTTCCTTCTCGCTCGCTTCGTGTTTACACATGCGCCGATGCATCACATCATTTGTGCAGTTGCAGGGCAGAGGATGAGAAGAAGCAGGAGGGATAGGCTACATGCACCGGCACCGAGTCGTGGGGGCAGGAGAGGGGCAAGTGGTGCGCCCCACACGGAAGTCAAGCGTGAAGGGGCTGACTTCTCGCACCCGAAGGGAGGATGCAAACAACGCGGCGTCGTGGAGAGCTGCTGCTCTGTCTTTGTTTTTTTCTTTTTCCCTCATTTATGCTCATCTTTACATTGTCGGCGATTTCCGCGTTGGCTTGTGCTGCGAGGACGCCGCTTCGCCGCAGTTATGTGGCGAGGCCGCAGACCATGACGCACGCACGCACGCACGCACGCCGAAACGAAAAGAGGAATATATATATAGAGAGAGAAGCAACGAAACTCGAGCAACAAAAGAAAGAAGGAAAAGAAAATGGAAGCTTTATACATCGCTGCGGTCGATGCACATCGCACCGACGGCCACCGCCGTTTCTCCCATAGTTCCTCCCTTTGTTTTCATCCTCTCTCATTCTCTCTCTCCCTCCCTCTCTCTCTGTGCATGTCTTGGCTGCGTGGGGTCTCCAGCTCACGTGGTTGCGGCGAGGTACTTCTCACGGAGGCGCCGCTGCTCCGCGCTGGTCTCGTAGGGCATCTCCGGCGTCAGCGCGTTCATCGCCTTATGGTACATCAGCATGGACACCAGCTGCTCGCGCCGCCGCACCTCGCCCGCCAGCACGGCCTGCTGCGTGGTTGGCGCAAACTCGGAGAACTTGAAAAAGATGCGCAGGCGCTCGTAGGAGGAGAGTGCCTGTCCGGCCCCCCCGCCACCGTTGCCGGCGACGGCGGCGTCGTCGTCCAGCAGCACCACGCCCCCCGTCCGCCCGCCGCTCCCCAGGGCGTCGGGGCACGGTCTCAGAAGGCGGCGGGGGGGCTGCAGCGTCTGTGGGAACCACTGCGTCGTTGGAAACGCCAGCCGCCGCCCCGAAAAGAGAGCCAGCCGCTCCTGCCGCTGCACCGCCCCACCCAGCAGGGAGCCCGTCACCACCGTGTCGCTCTGCCCAAACCTCAGCCCGTTGGAGGTGTGCAGCTGACCCGATGAGACGCGGCCCGAGAGAAAAAACGCCGCCGTCGCAGACCCGACTGGTCCGGGCTCCTCTGCGGTTCGCGCATTCACCTCTGAGCGGAAGAACGTCAACTGCCGCACGTCGGGTTCACCGGCGGAGGTGCTTTGCGCCAGAAAGACGGGGATCGGCTCTGCCTCTCTGGCGCGCACGTACTCCTCCACCTCGCGGGGGTGAAGGTGCTGCACCACAATATCGTTCTCCAACTCGGAAAATAAAATGGGCAGCACGCCCATGGGCGGAGCCACGATCGCCGGCGCCGCCGGGGACACGAGGGCTTTCAGCGCCTTGGAGCTTGCATTTGACAGGCCCGAGGGTAAATTGCCCCACGACGCCTCGGACGCGGCCTCGCATGCATACTTTTTTCCAGTCATTCCCAAAGTTCCCGCCTCCCACTGGCGCTTGGCGGTGTTGAGGATGTCGGTGCGGAGAAGGTTGTGGGCGATGACGAAGCCTTCGGCAAGCTCCCGCAGCCGCGTCGTCAGCGCCGCACAGACGCCAGTGGCACGGTTCCGCCGGGTGCGTGCGTCTGCGGTCACCTCTTCCTGCCGCATCGCCTCCTGGCGGGCTTTGGTGACGGTGTGCGGGGTGTACGTGGGCAGCACAAGCTGGCGCAGGAGGCCCTCCAGCGTGGCGGACTTCATGCCCGCCCGCACAGGGCCCGGGGAGTACAAGTCATGCACCTCCGTCAAGTAGTGTTGGTGGTCCACCAGCCGCAGCCCACCCTGCGCCACGTCGAACATGGCGAACCCCTCGCCAATCGCCAGCGACGCGGTCGCCCCCGTGCTGCGGCGCACGACCTCGGCGGGTTCCACGACGGCCAGCCCCGACTCGTGAATCACGCGGACGGAGGTTGCTGTGGAGCGTGTGAAGAGGGTCTCCAAAAAGGGAATGCTGTTCCCACGCATGCCGCGGTATATCACACGCCGCCGCAGCACGGAGCCGTCGCCAAAGACGACGTAAAAACGGTCATACGGCCTGCGTCGTGTGATGGGGCGGGCGGGGCTTTCCCTGGTGCCGGCGGCGAGTGATGGAAAGGGATGCTCCGTGAGAGACAAAGGCGAGGTAGCAAATTTCGGCATGTTGTCGCATTTGTCGAAGAACAGGTCATGTAGTGCTGCAGTAAAGGCATTTTGGGCATCCGTGCCTTGCAGCGTGCCATCGCGCGGGCCCTCGGTGGCGGTCCAGGCATCATCGCGCACCGAGGCACACACAAAGACGCGCGGCAGCGACGGGGCCTCTACGCAGTACTGTACAGTGGCCCCACACGCCGCGCCAACGACGCCCACCTGCTCCAGCAACGTCTTCAGCGGCGCTGGGGGGTTGCTGCAGGACTCGTGCGACACACGAGCTGAGAAGGTCGTGATGCACGTGCCATCCGCATGCAAGGTGACGCGGGCAATGACGTCGGTGTCACACGGGGCAGGGTCGCCCTCACCCCACGCAAACCCGTCCTCCTCCTCCTCCTCCCCCTCCGCACGATTCTGTCGGTGTGTGGCAGCGTGATCAGCGTTCAGGTGTCTACCCTCGCCCCGTCCGTCTCCTCCCGATGCCCCTTCTCCCTCTTGTTGCTTCTGCCGCTGCTGTCCATTTGCTTCATCCGGGTTGCGGTACAAGTAGTAGTAGTAGTACACGACCATGACGCCGTCTGCCCGCGAGACGATGCGGCAGTGGTGGCCACGATCATACGCCACACGCGTCTCCAGGGTGTTGCCTGCGACCTGCACAAAGGGACTCGCGTTGCCCTCACAGAGCTGTCGCACGTAGCAGAGGCCTGTTGCCATGAGCAGAGTCTCACAAATGACCGGCGGTGTGCCAACCGCGGCGGTCGCCGGCGCCGGGTACCGCGTGACGACGGCCCCGTCGGGGTACAACATCTGCGTGACGCCGGAGTGGAAGTAGCGGCACACCGCCCCCTCCTCCTCCAGCACCGCACGACACACCTCCACCTCCACCGCCTCCTGCCACTGCGCACGCGCGTCATAGGCGTGCACGCAGCGCAGCAGCTCCGCCGCCGGGCAGTCTCTAGACTCATGCTGCGTGATCCACAAAACCCCCTCCTCCTCCTCGCAGTGCAGCGTGACGCCGTTGGCGGCCACAGTCACCGCCAGGCTAGGAATCTTGCGGGGCTCTCCTGCACCGGCAGCTGCTGGCGCCGCGGCAGGGGCATTCGCATTCGCGTCCTCGCTAGACGCCACCTCGGGGCCTGCGGTCCACAACAAGACAGAGCCCTCCGGGGCGACAGGAAAAACACGCGTTGCCTCCTCCACGCGCAACGACCGCTCGGGCGCCGCGGTCCGCGAGTCGGCGTCGTCGCCGCCGCCGCGTCGGCTATGCCTCCCCGCGCCAGCTCCCCGCCGCCCCCCCGCGTGGTTGTCGTCCGCCAACACAGTCGAGGTGTTCGCGCCTCGCTTAGCGCCACGGTTTGCTGCCCTCCCACGGCGTGGGGTGGCGCTCTTCATGGAGGTCGCGCTGGTGTTGGCAACCGGCTCCTTCTCAGCGGCGACGCCGGAATTCACGGGCTCCGCGGGTGTGGCCCAGTGCGGGCTGCAGGTGAGTACCACCCCGTCATCAAATGTGGTCGTGAAGTAGACAACCTCGTCACACGGCGGTTTGCGTGCCAAGTGTGGCGACGTCACCGCCGAGGCACCTGCGTTTCCACCAGCAACACTTCCAGTAGCCGCACTGGGTTGCGGCGACGGTGGCGCAATGCCGTAGTGCAGCGTGCAGGTTAACTCGCTGGGTTTCACGTAGCGGCACATGCGGCCGCGGTCGGTGGTGACCACCTCGACCACGCTGTTTTCAAAGGGGTACAAGGCGTGACGACCCTCCAGCACCGTCTGCAGCTCCCCCTCAGAGCGGCACACACCGCCCGTTCGCCCTTTCCTCTCCAGCGGCGTGAGCAGCAGCAGCTGCGGTGCCCTCTGCAGACGCCGCAGCAGCTGCTGACGCAGCAACTCTCCAATGCAAACTCCAAAGGCGGTGGTGGAGGTTGTCTTCGCCGCGGGACCGCAAGCAGGAGCTGCGGACGGGGAAGCCGCGTGGGTCTCCGCCGCGGCCTGCGAGGCACTGAGCTCGTTCAGCTGGTCGAGGGTGGGGACGCCGGCAACGTAGTGGCACCACACGCGCCGCGCCTGCCGTTCGAGCGGAATGGGCACCCCGCCCAACATCATCGCCCGCACCCGCTTCCGCGAATGCACATTCTCGGCATGGATGGAATAGAGTGCGGTGAGGTTTCCATCTAGCGCCTCCAACGGGTCGGGTATGGGGCAACGTACCAGGCGGCAGAGGTGTGAGCCAAAGCGTGACTGAAACTCGTACATGCGACGGACCGCCACGGGCATCGTCATGCACTCCTCCACTGACCACAGTCTTGGGCCCACCGCCTCAGTCCGCGCCGTTGGATGCATCAGTGCCATCCACTCACCGCGCGTTGATGCGAAGGCCGCGTTGGCGGTGCCCGCCATGCCTGTCATCTGCGCCTGCTCCGCGAGCTGCATCAGATACGTCTGCTGCAGGATGTGCCTTCGCTCACGCGCCGTCAAGCGACGCTCCACCGAGCGCTGAAACTTTTCATCCAGCGGGGTGAGACCGACGGCGACTGTGATGTCGTCCCACACCTGCGTCCAGCCACAGTCAATTGTCTCGCTGGCGCGCCGAAAGTCCTCCTCAATGAGTTGCAGCAAATGTGCGTCCATCGCGTCCTCCCCATCGCCCAACGCGTATCCGTTTAACGTCTCCTCCAGCAACCCCTGCAACTTCATCGCGGCCCGCAGTTGCTCCGGCGAAAGCATGAGGGGGGAGTCGTCCCGCAGTGCCTCCACAGGCGGGGTGACAACGGCGCCAATCCCCCGTTTAACGAACTGCTGCGTCACCCACCGGATCTCCTCCGGGCTTGGAGGGTTTGTTGGGCGGTCCATCGTGTGATCCATCGGCAGCGTTGCCGTCGTGTTAAACTGGGTCTGCTCCAACTCCCCGGGCGCGGGAAAGAGGAGTGGCGAAGCCCTGCCTGGAGCCTCTACCGGAGGAATTGGCTTCCCAGCTTCTTCCGCGGTGGCTTGCGCGGCAGCAGTTTCCGCTTCAGTATTCATGTCCAATTGCCCCAAGACCGTGCGCTTGGAAGCGTACTGACGAAGTTGCCGCAACAGCGAGGTCCCAGTGCCGTCGTTGACGTTGCCTGCGGGGGAAGCCCCATCCTGCTCATTCATCACCTCCAGCAAGGTGGTGTTGCCCTCCTCCTCCTCCTCTGCGGGGCACACCACTCGCGGCTGCTGCCGTCGCGCCAGTGAAACGGTCACCTGCGCGGCGAGGGCGCACGCGGCGGAGAGGCACGTCCACTGCCCCCGGACTTTCCGTTCTCGAACGTAGTACGACCACTTCTCCTCCTCCCCACGCAGAAAGCTGGCCGTGGACCAGGGCAGAGGCGTCGTGTCACTCGTGAGCAAGCGCTTCGAGGCACCCTCATCGAGTCCCAGCGTCTTCGTCCACGTCGCGGTCGTCAGCACGGCGGACGCCAGGGACGGGAAAGCCGTTGAGGTGTGTTCCCGCGTCCGCAACATCACCGACGGCTCCACGGTGGCCTCATTCACGACGGAGTTCTCCTCCTGCGGTGTCGGGAAACCCATGCGCGGCGGTGGCGTCGCTCGGGAGGAGGGAAGGCGATACACCTTTTTCGCGGCAATCAGCTCCGCGTACCGGGCGATGTCGCGCACCACGTGCTGCATCGTCGGCAGCACCGTGTGCACGCAATGTCGCACCCACACGGCCTTGTCGTCCCCGCCGTCCTCAAACACATCCCGCAGGCACACCACACCGGAGCCAAGGGCGCCCCCGGCAGGCGACGTCACCACTTTGATCGCTCCCTCCCGCTGCTGCCGCTCAATCCACGCTTCGAGTGTGTTGACGGCGTCTGTGGGGGCATTGCCCCCATCAGCGTCGTTCGCGCCCGCTGTCAAACCGGAATTGGGACCCTCACGCGAGGCCCTGCGCTTGCCAGAAGCGGCGGCACGAGAACGCCCACTCGGGCCTCCCACACCTGCCGCCCCCGCCACCCCAGCGGGTCGTCCATCCACAAACTGCACGATGAGACGTATATCAATAGGGTTGGTCGGAGACGTTCGCCGCGCCATAAGTGCGGGGAGGGCCCGGTAGTCGTGCAGCGCGAGCACCACGGGAATTTCCCTGCTGTGCACCTGCGGCCTTTCGCTGGGTTGTGGCCCACGCTGCGGTTGTTCGCCAGGGGCACCGCCGTCGGACGGCAACGCCCCGGCGCAGGCGTCTTTACTCGCGCTCGTGGGGGCCTCCATCTCCTCGGCGATCAGGCGCAGGGCCCGTTGTACCATCGCGGTGACGTCGGCGGGACCCTCGCGCGGGCTCGTGTGCGTCGAGCCTGTGGCCTCGCCCCCCTCGCATCGCTCCAGCTCTGACAGCTGATGGATAAACACAACCGGGGCCTCCCACTGCGGGCCCTCCACCACACTGTACCACCCCCCCCGCGACCGCTGCGTGCCGTCGCCCGTCAGGCTCTTGGAGACTTCAGCCGGAGAGCCGGCCCCACCGCTTGCCGACGTGGCTGCCGCCGCCGCGGCCATGGCCTTCTTGGCGCCCTTTGAGGCCTTGCCGCCTTTTGCGCCGGCGACGGGACTCGGCACGGCGGCACTGGAGGCGGTCGCGCCCAAATCGGGAGATCCCCCGACGGACGCCTGGAGTGCCGCCAGGACGGCATCGACGAGCCCCTTTTCCGCATCGTGTTCCCCCGCCGATGGCGATGGCGACGGCGACGGCGATGCCGCGTCGGCTGCCTCTGAAGGCGGCGGTGGCAGTGCCAGCGTCAGCCCGTGGGCAAGGATGGCAGCCAGCACGTGGAGGTCGAAGAGAGGGCTCTCGCTGCAGAGCAGGATGAGGTGGCACGCCGTCTTCCCACTCCCCACCCACTCAGCCGCCATGACCACGTGGCGTGCCTATATATATATAATATACGTGTGTACCCCCTCTATGGTGTTAGCAGCAAAAAAAACAAACAAACAAAAGAGGTGGAAGAGGCCCCAGCGTGAACCGCAAGGAATAAGTCCCACGTGACTGCGAAGCCCCACACAACCAAGCGCGTTGGCAAGAAGCCAGCCCACGCAAGGAGACGCAGGCATGCAGAGATGCCACTGCGCCAGGGGAGTCACTGCGAAATGACTCAAACAAGACGCAAAAAGTAACGAAAAAGAAAAAGAGAACAAAAAAGATGAAACGAAGAATTCAAACAAGCCTTTGAAGCGCAACCCACTGGAGATGCATGCATGCGTGCAGGCGTGAGGAGGAGGACAAGCGAGAGAATAAGAGGGTGCACGGAGCTGCGCCCTTCTAACCTTCCCGCCCCATCTTTCTCCTCCTCCTCCACCGCCCGCGACTTCCGCCCCCTTTCTGTTCTTCCCTCTTCCGCCAGAGCGACTACGCAACGACGGCGCGTTTCGTGTTCTTCTTGACGAAGACGACGCGGTCCTTGCGCGGGGCCTTGACGCGGCGGTGCAGGAGCGGGAAGGACAGGTTGCTGGCGTGGTACTCCGCGATGCTGAGCCGCTTCACCTGGTGGTTCGGGATGCTCTTCACGCCGAGCACCTCAATGTTGCTGTACCGCGCCCGGTGGCGGGAGGCGAGGTCGTGGTAGGCCTGGCTCACCGCCCCCGCCTTGCAGACGTCGCGGAACTCCTTCACCATGTGCGTGTAGCCGCAGCGCTGGCTGTAGTACGCGATGTCGACGCTGTAGTTGCGCGCCGCCAGCTTGCGGTCCTTCACCACCTTGCAGGAGAGCACGTCGCCGTGGGTCGACTTCACCTTGTTCTTGCTCCGCATCATGCGCC